ATTGGTAGACACAAATCTCTCTATTGTTACTGTCTGTCTGGCTAGCTTTTTCTGATGCTAGATGACCGTTATCATGTAAGTTTTCTTCTTGTGTAGTCTAACATTATACGGGTTTTCTCGCGCAGGATTTATCTCCGAGTTCATTTTTTTTTCCTTCGCTCTAACACAAGGGTCACTAAACTTTCTTCAAAGTGGCCTGGATATCTGAGAAGCGTGGGCCAGATGACTGTTTTTCGTTTTTGTTTTTGTAAGAGTTTTACGGCACTTGCAACACGATAAGGTCATATTGTAAGTACGGAAGATTAGAGAGGTGTTGCAAGAAAGTAAGAAACAAAAAAAAAAAGGAAAAAAAAAAGGAGGAGAGATAAGGACGAATATGTTTGATAGGAACGAAGGAGTAAACCACATCAGAGCACGCCCCAACTTCCCACGGATGGCCGTTTTGTTTAGTACAATACTCTGTATACACGAAAAATTAAGATAACCGGCCCACACATTCATTAGAAATCAATAAGTACACAAAATACAAAAGAGAGGACACCCCCCCCCAAAAAAAAAAAAGAAAAAGTAAATAAAAAAAATATTAACAATAAATAAATAAAATAATATTTAAAAAATGAAAGAAAGAAAGAAAGAAAGAAAGAAGGAAGGAAAGAAAGAAAAATAAATAAATAAATGAAAAATAATTTAAAATAAAAATTACAAAACACATAATAATGAAGACTAACAATCATTTTATATAAAGTTTGTAAAATGCCCTTATGAAATCCTTGCGTGTGGGCGCTCGGGAACGTCTTCAGTTGGAAATGTATTAATTAACAGATATGTTTATTAAATCCGAAGAAAAGTGTGATACATTAGCTAATAGCCATTAATTTTATAAAACCGCATCCAATTTGCACTGGGAAGTTCAATGAAATAAGAAAGTTATTTTGGTGACAAAGAAAGTCTACAGTGGGCAAAAAGCACATCTTCCAAGTTTTATTTTTGGCATGATGGTTTAATATTATTTTCCAGCATGGCCAAATTTTATTTTCTGGCATGGTCAAATTTTATTTTCCGGCATAATGACGGGCCAGACGCATTGACCTTGACTGTACATAGTTTGGTGAGCCCTACCCAGAAACATGATAATGACCTCGATTCATAGATTTGTGCTTTAATATCCCAGCGTGCACTCTGACCTTGTTCTGGTCCACCATAATTTGAACCCAACGAAAGGCACGGAGGGAAAGGTTACTGACCGACTAGACTGTTGCCAGACAGGCTGGTGTTTGCAGTTATTTTTGGCGCCCATAGTGCGGACCGTTGCACCGAAGTTATTTTCTTTTGTTTGTTTGTTTGTTTTGATTTCTTTCTGTTTATTTATTGTTTTTTACAGGGTTTTTTTTAGGGGGGGGGTCGAGAGAGCAATGAGCGTCGACCATAACAGGTCACTGTCTGGTATATTATTATAAATGAAGACTATGTCTAACAACCAATTAGTCTGTCATAAGTCGGCGTGAACTACACCATTTCCCGATCAAATATCAAAACAGAGAGCTCAAATGCAGCATTGAAAGCTCAAATATCAAAATAATCAAATTAATTCAACATAGAGAGTTCAAATTCAACACAATGAAAAACGTAAGCAAATGTCAGCTCAAATGTAATCACTGGAGAGCTCAATTGTAAACATTAGGGAAATTAAATTCGTCATGGTCAGTTCAATTGCAGCATAGGAAAGTTCAAATCCAACAATACAAAAAAACTGCGAAGCTATGATGTAACCATCATCTCTGAATCAGGGGAAGCTACCCTGTCTCTTAGCAACGTTCATTGTTTACTGTTCTCGTCTCTTGCATTCAATACTCTCCATCTGCTCTCTAAATCTAGATCTACACTTTTCCCCTATGAAATATCAAGTAGCGAGCTCAAGTGCAGCAATAAAAGTTCAAGTATCTGTCTCTTGCTACATTCGTTGTTTACTGTTCGCGTCTTTCTTCGTCAGCTGAGCTAGCTCTAGATCTAGATCTAACCGTCGTTGTCATCTTGTTTTGTTATATCCAATACTTCAACCGGGGCTCTTTGGAAATTGCCTTCCCGTTTGTTTACATAAGAAACAGAAGTGATTGCTAAAGACAAAAGTGGCCATGTAGGCTAAGTAAACTCTACCACCGTTATCCAGTAATATTTTTCTTTTTTTTTGTTGGTATTAATTGGGGGCCCTGGCAAAAATAATGCTTTAAAAAAAACGCACAATCTTCACGTTTACATGGCAAATTATCAGTTTCAGAATGGCTGCCAATGGAACAGGAAGGGAGTTTCCGAAGACCGTCCTTCAACTGTTGTAACATATCTTACCAGGAAGGCACAACTGCATTATTAAGCATTCCTGACCCAAAAAAGCAAATAATACAAATAGTCTGTCTCGAGGATAAACTGAGAATACTGGTATACGAGAAGCCTTTCTGCGAGGTGACGATTACATAATGCTCGCTTAACAGTGGCAAATCAACCG